GAATTAAACTAATCAACAGTGCTATACATTTCACTTAATTTCATGTCCACTGCATCTCAAATTAAATCCACCTAGCATTTATTACCATTCATTTGCAAAAACTGCTACATTCATAATTTATGTTTCCCAAAGTGTAGCCAGTGAAAGAAAGTGTGAAATGCTTCAGTGCTGATGTGAAAACATGAAATGAACTCAGAATTTCTGGCATAGATTGAATTTAAATATAACTCAGCATGACTGAAAATCTTCTCAGTGTCCTAGATTTGCACTTCAGGTTTCAGTTTATACTAAGCATGAGTAAGTGTTGTTAGCTGCATGAATAATGCATATTCTGCAGCTCAGCCCATTCCCTTCACATGTTTATTCATTTATGCTGTTTAAATGTACTGAGATGGTCAGTATTCACTCTTGTTTTGACAAGCTGCAGGAGAGATCAGCTTCCTCATGCTTAGAGCAACCACAGAATTACTTACTCAGAGACCATATTTTTAAATGATCATTTATATTTATATATATCTGCATTCAGTGACAGAAGCCCCCTTTCATACTTCTATATCATTATCTTGAATAAAATTCTTGTAAATTTATATGTATTTTTGTAATATATTTCTGGTGTCAGGAACGCTAATTGTAGAAATGAGAAGTAGCTTTACAACAGAACCCAAATGCACCCAGTGTCTGGGACCTGAGAATGTATTTTGCCCTTAGACACATGACATCACAATCAGTCTACACCTTTTCAGAGCTCAGGGAGTCCATGAACAAGGGATTAGGTAATCAGAAGAAGGAAATAGGGCTAACTTTGTCAGGTTTCACATTAGAAGAGCTGCACAGTTCCGTCCATGTCAGTTCACAAAAGTGAATTTGGGCAGAAAAGCAGCTCTGTAGGGACTAATATTATCTCATTTTAGATGAATAGAGACTAATTTTGTCACTTTGGCAATTTCTGTTTCGTCATTCTCTAATTTAAATGTCACAAACTCAGGTTTTATATTATGTCAGTTGTTCAAACTTGTGTGGACCCATAATATCCAGGTAATTAGTATATTTCTTGTATTTAATGAGGTTTAGTAACATTTGTTAAGGTAACACATTATTATTGTATTCGAAGCATGAATTTTGTCTGTAAAAAGAGCTTTTCAAAGACATTAGTGATAGGTATGTGCCACACAGCCATCAGCTTCTGTATGGCTTTTTCCTCAATTTCTTACCCTCATTAATATATTTTCCTTGTCACAGTGCTTGTGGGGTTTGTTATACATTAGGTACTGAACAGCGCAAATAACATGCACGTGGTCACCACAATAAATGTGATACAAATGGAACTTAATTTGTACTTCTTGAATCCAGGATATTGCCTGGATGCTACAGTCCCACCCAGCTTTTTCATGTAGTTGTGTCTTTGAAAACTATCTCTAAATGACGACTTACTGGCTACTGGAGTTATTCAAATGAAAAAGATGAGAAGAATCTGCTTATTAAGTCTTATCCTCTATTCCCACTTTCTATAACCAGTAGCCCACAAAGATTGTTGCTTTAAATTTTATTTTTTTTTTAAATCAATAATTCAACAAAGTTGTCTTATGTTTATTTTATATGGTCCTGGGTAGAATTTTAATCTTCTGTGTTATGGCAAATATAGCAACTTTGCAAAATTTTGCCATTGTGAAGTGACATAAACCTAGGTTCAAAAATTTAACCCAGAATGAAAATGCGAATAATACTATTTGTTTCTGAAGCAGAGTTTCTTTGAAATGACTCATGTAACTTTTTGATAGTATGGGTCAATTTTTCTAAAGAGAGATGCCTGGTTGTGTTATCTCTCCCTCTTTCTGAGACTCATGTGACATTCTTTAATCGGATCTAGAAACAACAGCTG